CTCTTTCCCACAGGGAAGAATAGAATTCTTGTTCTGTGGAGTACCAGAATCCTCATCTTTTTCTACCCTATTTCTGGACATCATTCTAAATTTCTGGTGTCTCTCTCTTCAGCCTTGCTTAGAGTCCTAATTTATTCTATGCAAAAAAGTCTCAGCATTTGACACCATCAGTAGAGATATTTTTGCTGCTCTCAGCAGACATGTTTCTCCAACTAGAAAGTCACAGTGATATTGCTCCAGGATCAGTTATCAAAAGAAAACCTTAGGATTATGGCTACTTTTCTGGAAAGGTAAATTTATCACTTCGTGATATGATGACAAATGATAGATTATGAAAGTCTTCAATAAAGCCATTTCCTCTAATTTGTTGCAGTATGTCATAGAGAAATGCTGAGACTCAGTATAGTTAATCTATATGTGACTTCTTGCATTTTTACTCTTCTTCATCCATTGGGTATGTCTAGGCCAATATGATTCTGAAGTGCTGGTGGAACACAATGTACAAATTATATAGCACTGCAGCAATTATGGTAAAAGGCAAATGCAATTTTTATTCAAGAAACATGGAATTGTGAGACATTTGAATGTGGCAAGCTATTCAAATTCCAACTTTCAGGAGCCCATGGAAAGCCCAAAGTACACAATCAATCCAGTACACGATGCTAGATTACTCGATAGGAAACTGGTTCTGGCACAGGAATATATTTATGACACTAAATGAAACTTGAAAAACTGAATCTGAAATTCAAGAGAATGGTATGACTACTTTTGATGAGTGTCTGACACTTGAATTTGTCTAACCTACCTACAATGACCAAACCCTATGCCTAGCAAAGTAAACAAAACCACTGGAAAAACTGTACTTTCAAAATGCAGCAGCTCATTTTTATAACAACAGGTTAAGCTGAGCGTATATCTCCTTTTTCCTCTGGTCTGAAATGAAAAGACATCCAAGTTAATTATTATAACGCTAATTTTCAAAGCACTAAATAGAGGGGAGCCCAAGCCATTTAAAGACTACCTATATTTTCATAACCAGGGACAGTGTAGTTCTCCTAAACCAATATGTCTCAAGAGTTTTTCTGTCATTCATTTGTACTAGGGTTAAATTTTACTCTACATATAAGAATGATCATGAGTAAGTCTTCAAGTCTAAATGCAAGTCTCTCTTACACTGTCTTAGCCTTCTGGAAAAAAGGCCCAAATAATTATGCCAAATCCTCTTTTCTGTCATTAGATAAAGCTTGAGAAAGAAGCAATTCACAATACACTACAAGTCTC